AGGTTACTGATAAAAATGGTATTACCTAAGTACCCAGTAAGTAGCTTCTGCTGTTGCACGGGATCGGACGGTACCATGGCCCACTGGAGTCGGGAAAGAAATGCAATTCATGTTATGTGTGAGGTAAGTGGAGCCCTCGCGAAAAGGTAGGTAGCAGAATTGCAACGTGGGTGAAAAATTATTTACAATTCCTACTTATATCTTTAACCTGTCTAAATTAGTTTCGTGACTTCGAATACAAGTAGTGAGGCCAATGGGTTATTTCAAATATTCGACGGCGTTTGAGAATGAAAAAACGTCGCGGAACAGATAATAAAAAATCTAACTGCAATTAACAATGTACAGTATTCAATTTTACTGATATATCATAACAGTTGCCTTAACTGTAAGTCTGTAATAATAACTGAATGCTTTTCACGATGACCGATTTTTGTTTGTAAAAATTTATAACGGTGCTTTCTGTCTCCTCGTTCATATTGTATCAGCAACTGCCTCTAGCGAATCTTATCGCTGCTAGGCGAGTTTGGCTGAACAATATTCGGTCAATCATCGTTTCCATTCTTCACCCATTCACTCACGCGTTCACACGGTTCACTGCGGCGTGCGCCGGCGCCGTTTTCGAAGTTGTAACGCGCGCCCGCATATCTCACCCTTCGCACACTCGGCCTACATATAAGAATACGTATCTACTCCAATTGAATATAAATATATTAGTTATTCAACGCAAGTCGTTAAGGCAGCCTTTCCGAATTACGCTATTACGATCCTATGGAAAACCCAAACCTAATAGTAGCTACACGTCTATGCTATATTTTATCCGAAATGTGTATCATTTTAACATCAGTATTTAAATCATTTTAAGGACCACCAACCTACTTCGGGATAGATTTTATTTATATGTAAGACGAGCTTTGTATTTGTAATGTATTTTGTGCGGAAGTAAGCCCCAACGACCACTGCGACCTAGAAAAATTTATTGCAGCCCTCCCTTCAAAAATATTGCTCCCTTAATGTAGGACAACATGAACCTAGTTTTTAAGGACATTTTACATACATAAATTTCTCGTGGACAAACACCTAGATCTGAAAATTTTATTATCTGAGGTCAAACAAAAAGTAGCGTCATGTGGGAACGGAACCCACGACCCTGGCGCCGAAGCCAATACTTTGGTAACTGCGCCACGGAGTCGTCAATGAAGGTGAGCTTGGCCTGAAATTTCTACTTGTAATAGTATTTCTAATGATCTATTAAAGCACTATATATGCAAGTATTATATTTGCAAAAGTACCCATGTTTCCATGCTTACACATCACACGTAATATGAAAGTACAATATTTTTTTTTACAAACATTAGGAATAGATATCGTTTTTATTTATTTAAGAAGCTGGCAAATGAGCTGGCTGTTGACTTGATGTTAAGTGATGCCCGCCCATGGACATTTGCAACAACCGTAGGGTTGCAGACGCGTTGCCACCTTTTAAAAAAGTGGGCTCTGGTTCCCAAATTCACCAGACGAAAGTATAATACGTCTACTTTACGCCGATCTTCTGTGCGGCTGTGGCACTTCCCCGTACGGACCGCCCCATTCGTGCAGATTTATTTTATATGTGAGTTACAAATTTAATCATATTTCAGGAAACACAAGGGCGAAAGAGAGTATCGTTTCTTAGGGGACGCCATTGCTGCCAGTCCTCTGATATGGAGAGTTTTTGGTGCGTGGTGGTGTTGCGGTCATGGGCGATGGTGACCCTGTACTGTCATCCGGTCCTGAACCAATTTCTCCTTGCACTTCGTAACCTACTTAATTAAAACAAAATTTAAAGTAAATATAGTTTATTTGCTAATTATCTGAACAGTTATGACATTCAACATAACGTCACGTAACCTATTATATGCACGTTAACACTTTAATCGATGTTTTTACTTTCAGTCCGTAGACTTCAGCTTATACGAACAACATTTCAATTTAAAAACAAAGTCAAGCTTGGAACTGTACAAGTATAATGTACACTCTATGACGTGATTCAACGAAGCCGATCACACATTTGAAGCGTATAACGACATAATCGATATCGTGTACCGTCGATACGCTGAAAAGTAGCTGGCAGTTTTCCTGAAAACACAATCGCTGCGTGGCGGGTCCGTCATTGGTCGGAGGGCACCAAAACGCCATTGGTGGGGAGGCGGTGTCGGATGTGCGCGGTGAGAGCATTGGCCCGTCTGCTCACCCCACCTCGCGCCGAGCGGGGCGAATCATCCCCATGTTTATTTTTGTTGTTAAAGTCAGTGAGCTATGAGCTTTCGACGCGCGTAGATGTATCCCGCCGGTGGGCAAACAAAGCGGATTGCACAACTCCACTAAAGAGTGCCGTCTGTGTCTTGGACTGTGTGTTTGGCCGGCGCGACGTTGTGATTGTGTTGCGAGCTCCACATTTCGGAGATGGTGATCCTGTGAGTGCTGCGGTTTATTTTTTTAAGTTTTTTATTCATGATGATCATTAATAATGACAGTAGCAAAGTGTATCAACTAAACTCTACCAAACAGGGACTCTATCAAAGAGCAGGATGGGGGTTGAGACGTAATAAATAATAGAAAAACCTTTCCTTTCTTAACGTAAAATAATATTTATATAGAAATAGAGGGTTATGATGTGCCCACTTTTTTCTATATCGTTTTATTCTGAATATTTTATACCGTCCTTTACTTGATACTTTTTCAAAAGATTTAGCAGTTTTTTTAAATGATATTCATTAGATTACATTTGAATGTATTTAGGCCTAACGGATGCAGATTGACCAACTTGATGACTATGAACCTAACGGATTCAGATGATTGATGATGCATGAACTCTTCATGAATAATTTATTATATTACACTACTTAAAGCAAAAAATCAAAAAATAGTTTTGAAATCAGACTATATAAAACACAACAAAGAAAACCGACTTTCAAATCTTCTATACTCACTATACATTTTTAATTTGATTTTAAGAATGTAGTTCCAGAGTCAAAGGTCAAATAACAATGAAATTAATATAGGACTACGTAGGAGCTAAACCAAATCCAGTGAGATATAACATAAATGAGAGTTCTAAGGTAAAAAACAATAACATGCAAATGAATTAGGAACCTCCTCCTTTTTTGAAGTCGGTTAAAAATAATGAAACTTGAAATATGCTGAAGATTTGTCATTTCATTTTCTATATTAAATCGCAAATTGTCAAAAATAATAACTTTAACGAAAACTTATATGTTGAAAAATGTGCAAGATATATCTATTAAAAGAGTTAATTTCCACGTTTATATACCTACGAAATGTAAATATTTCGCTTACTTGTTAATAAATGGAGATCTTAATAAAAATCAGTAGGCAACGAAGTATAGATAAGACAAATTTTAGTGGAACTGCTTCCCTTAATATTTTCCTTAACCTTAACTTATTACCTTAAAAGCACAAAATTCACAAAGCCAATTTATTTTTATACAAACTTATAACATAGTTTTCAAAATCATACAATTAAACCGAACGGATGACTGCGTCTTCTACAAACAATATAAAGCTGCCCACAAGTGACTAACCAAATAATACAATGTGTACGTCATTGTGCTTTAATTCCGTGTCAAATATGTTAAAGTGGGCAAACAGGGGAGGGTTGTGGAAGGTGATGGAGGGACGCCAATTGAAACTAATTGAGCCTCATTGAATACCATGCGCGCCTTCGCCCCGCCGAAATAAACAAATAAACCTGTTATAGTAGTTATACCTCGTCTACGATTACTCTAAGCATTCAAAAAATAAACATTTTAACTTGTCATGAACATCAGAATCAATGAAATTTGTTTTGATAAAAAAAATACGTAATACGATAATCACCAAACCATAACACGCTTCATTAAATGAATAATTCCTCATAATGCAAGCAGCTAATTATTGATACAAAAATAATTTTAAATAAACAATTAAACAGTATAGTAATCTTAACAATAAAATTAATAATGGCAATATACATACTGACCGCCAAAAATATATGTACACTACATACTTCGATATCATTAAACAATATTAACTATATTTATACATTCGTTTTTACGAAGTTATTTAACCAATTAAACCGCGGCCTGCCCCTTCAGCAGGCAATTCTGAAGTAATTGGCTCAACAAGCCCAAGCAAGGGGAGTTGAAGCTTTCTCCCATACGCCTGTTTCCATTAACTACATGCTAAGACAGATAAAACACTTTAATAAATTAGCTAAATTCTATCAAGACCGCTTGCTCGTCCGTATTTAATAACTCAAATTTAACTTAACTTGCCCAAAATGTACAGATACTTGGGAAACGCATCGAAAATAATATAATCAACCATGCATGTTCGTTTGTATAGACTTGTAGAAGATACGTTGTAATCGTGGAATTATCCGCTTATCCCTCTAAGAATCGGGCAAAAATATTTCTGTAAGCATACGCTATCTTCCTAAGCTAACTGATATTTATATCTTTAGGTTGATATCGGTAATTTAAAACTTTTTCTGTGATTTCTTATTTACTTTTTAGGTAATAAAAATTTGTAACTGGGAAGAGAACTTACGTCCCACACGTTACTAACGTTAAATCATCACTTTACTTTCTATATGAAGTAGTCGTTACAGTATTTTTTTACTTTCTTTTTTTAAAAAAAGACACTGCCCTTCCTTTAGGATAACATTATCCTGTGTTGTAAGTACGTTTTACAAACATAAATTTCACGCGTACAAACACCCAGATGCGACGCCCATCGGGATCACGGTTCGCACCGAACCTCGATAGCCCGTAGGCGACACTGCTCCCTTAGTTAACACGCGGCCCCACCCACTGTGGAGGGCCTCAAACCCGTGGGTTCTGGCTAGCACGGGTCTGCGTTCGATGAAGCTTTAATAGTCTACGGACTGGAAGCGCTAAATTCACTTAAAACAAAAACAAAAAACTCATCACAAACCTCGTCCCGGCAGCGGCCGCGCGGACATGTCGGAGGGACCATCGACGCCGGAGTGGGACATCAACGACGCGGTGGTGCCGCGCGTCACCAGCTTCGACCCGTTCGGCGAGTGGTGCGACGGCCACGTGCGCCGCGTGTACCCGCCCGGCTGCGAGGAGGCGAGGCGGCACGCTTCCGGCTGGGCGATGCGAAACACGAACAACCACAACGTGCACATACTGAAGAAGAGCTGCCTCGGCGTACTGGTCTGCTCGGTGCGGTGCCGGCTGCCCGACGGCTCGCGGGTGCACCTGCGGCCGGCGATCTGCGACAAGGCGCGCAAGAAACAGCAAGGTGATTGGCGGCGTCTAGTCATGAAGCGTAGTTCTTACATCACCTGTCGCGAATGTTACTGTTAAAAGTTAGCCGTTGAAGTAGTAGACATAAGTAACGTGTCTGTGTAGTGTAAAATTGTCAGCCTATACATGTCCCACGGCTGGGCAAAGGCCTCCTCTGTACAGAGGGTATCAGGGCGTAATCCACCACGCGGCCTCACTGCGCTTGCACTTGGACTGGCGCACTAAAACCGATAAATAATAAGCATAGACGAGTGAAACAAGGAAAGGAGCCTAGGTTATACCTAGAAAGCGTTTCATTTTAACCAGTTACTTAATTTTTGGAAATTACTTCAAATGCCAAACCATCATGCCTACGAAACCACACGAATAAATAGCAAAAGTAAAGCAACAGCCAATATATGTCCCAATGCTGGGCAAAGGTCTCCTCTCTACTCTTTGTGGATTGGCGGACTTCACGTATGTTTGAAATATTTTTGTTGCTATTTCGAAAATATGCAAATCTCCTCAATAGACAGCAAACCGTAGTGGGGCCACGCGACAGTTTCGACTGTTGCACGAACGGGAGGTCCGTCCGGGCAACTCAACGATCTCAAAGAAGACACACTTTAATAAAAGGTGGCAACACATATGCAACCCTACGGGTGGTGCAAACTTCCATGGGCGAAGGTTATCGCTTACCATCAGCTCGCTTCTCACATAAAAAAAAACTCCGCGATTATAATCGCCATCGAATCCAACAGGCAAGCCGTGCCCGAACCGGCTCTGTAACGGCGGGCGGCTAGAGGTGCAGCCGTGCCGCGGCCACTGCGGCTACCCCGTCACGCACTTCTGGCGGCACACGGAGCACGCGATATTCTTCCAAGCGAAGGGCGCGCACGACCACCCGCGCCCCGAGGCGAAGGGCGCGAGCGAAGTGAGGCGCTCGATCGGCGCGGGCCGGCGCGTGCGCGGGCTGGCCCTGCTGCTGGCGCGCGAGGCCGCGATGGCCGACAAAGCGCTGACGGCCAAACAGGAGAGGCACGCGCCGCAGAAACACGGCGGCCACCCGCAGCCGCCGCCCCTGATCCCCGACAACCAAAGAGGTGAGAACGCCCTCAATACTTACTCTTTGGCTGTGGAGGCCACGCAGCAGCTAAAGCTGTTGCACGAATGGGCGGGCCCATCAGCGGCTGTACCACGGCGTCACGGAAGACTTTTCAGTCGTATTAATTTCCAGTTTCGTCCGGTGGCTATACTTTCTTGTTCTTTGACCGTGGTAGGGCCACGTAGCTGCTAAAGCTGTTCACGAATAGGCAGGTGCATCCGCGGATGTACCATGGCGTCACAAAAGACTTTTCAGTCGTATTAATTTTCTGTTTCGTCCGGTTAAATGGGGCCCATTACGATTCAACTTGCAATAATTTTCTGAATTGACTCAATTTTAGATAGTAGATCTATGATAATTATAACATTTTTTTGTATCTGTTATAATTTAGATGCCAAATTATTATTTTTTCGTAGTTTCTTTTACAACGTTATTATGTACTGAAATACGGTTTTGTATTTTTCTTACAACATTTACGAAAACGTCAGAATAAGCGCACACACGCTCTTGGAATTTAGAAATGTACAGAACAGTAAATTTCTGTGTTAAGCTGGACGATCTGAATGTACTTTCCGAATTTTTCAAACAACGTTATATTCTGACAGGCCGTACCATATTTAACGTAAAACTTTGAGTTGAACCTAAATTTGGGTTAAATGCGTACTAATGATGGTACACAGTATTTTACTTAAACACGCCTTTGTTGCAGTTCTCACCTGTCCGTGCGGTCCGTTCGAGTGCACGTGTCGATGGCGGCATGACTTGCCCGCGGAGTCGTACGCCACTCCGACGTGGACTCCGGTGGAGCACCAGAGCTACGCGACCTACCCCAATCCGGCGGCACCAGCGCCGGCGCTCCAACAGCAGACGTACGACACCACCCTACCCGCGGACGACATCTTCCATCCGGAGGAAATATTCCAGTTGGACCAGCCCATCAGGTTGGACTTCCCGCTAGAGGAGAGCACACTCGAATCGCCGCCGACCTTCGCCGACCTCAACAACGACAATTCGCGGCCCGAGGACGCGTACTGGTTGGAGTGGCAGAGGGCGGCGGGGGGATCTGAGTCCAGCGAGACCCCATCACCGGAGCTCTTCAGCGGGTATCAGCATCCGGAGGCGTTCTGCGAACAGCAGGGCTACCCGCACCAGTTGTACTACCCCGAGGAGGCGCAATACTACCCCGCCGAGGGCTCCAGGGAGTCGCCGATCATGGAAATGCAGGAGCAACGCTTCTACAGATACGGCCAGGACTGCCTCCAGAACAATGTCGATATGCAGTCGTGGAACTATTCGGACTGCGCGTTCGCGTCACACTTCGATACGCAGCACACACAAAACGCTAACGCGTTCGGTGCTCTATTATAATGTTCCTCAACACACGTGTACATATTCTATTGTAAATTGTAAATAATTTGTTAACATCGATTATATTGTACATTCCATACTTTAAGTATTAAATACAGAGCCTTCAATGTGAAGGACGTTTTAAGTGTATTGTTTGTTGCCCCTTTGATGATTTGACTCATGAAATGAATAAAACAATGATTTTTTTACAAAATCGTCTATTTATTGTATATAAAAATTACATTAAAATTGTCAATTTTACATATTTCTTTTTATTTCTAACAATAAAATTGGTCACTACAAAATAGTCCATAAAGCGATCACACGTTATATTTATTATGCATTTGCAATCGCAAAACATTACAAAATAAAGAAAAACACTCCATAAAATAAAATAATTGGTATATATGTTAAAACAGTTATGGAGCATTTCATCACTTTGTATTATTTGTCCTTAGTTTAGGTGTAAAAATGTGTAACATTTTACCGTGTACAAACATGGAATTTCGTTAATAAATTATTAACTATTATTTAACACAGATGGAGTTTTATAACCAAGGAGATTTACAAAGTGGTAAATATTCAAAATGAGAAATTTAGTAATGAAACATACAACCGAAACCGTCTTATTTGATGCAACATTACTACAATAAATGAATAATATCCTTTTATAAGCTTACTCATCACTTCATCTTTAGTAATCCTAATTACTTCTATAACGCATAGTTAAATCATTGTGATATATATTTTTTTTTCGTATGGGCCTTCACCTAAGAAATGACATCACGCGCGGGCCTAAAGATTTGAACTAAACTGCTCATTTACAAACTTTACCCGAAAATTGTATTGTTACCTTCCTCAAAAGTAGGCCCTCAGAATGTCATTGTTCCATGCTCTAAAATAATTGAGGGTTTAGGAGAGCACAGCACGACTATCACAGCAGTTGGCAAACATGAACAGTGTCCCTCACCAAGAACAAATTACAAACGTTACAAACGTTATTCGGTACACTTTATAACATTAGGGACATTACCGGCCCCATCGGGGGCTATATAATAAGGCCACAAACACATTACAACATGAAGCAACGCCATTTTATAATAACAATATTCCAATTTGCGCTTCAATAACATATGTGTATATTAGCACGACAACCGCTAGATAAAATATCGGACGCAAATCTGTGCGGTTAGAAAACGAGAATGTGACATTCTTAGTTACCTAAATCTATATACTAAAGTGCCAGATTTATTAAAGAGTCTAAATGTTGTAACTGAAGCGAGATCGTTTGTTTAAGCGTCATTGTATCCTGCTTAGAAGCCTATAAACGCTTTTAAGAGAAAATCTAAATCGAGGAACAAATATGTCCTACTATAACTACAATGACTTAGATATCAAGACAGTAAGACTTATTGATAGAATAGTTTTAAGAGTGAACTTTTAATCATTCGAACTGTAATAAGAGATATATTTGATATATATTCTGTTTTACCTTCAATATTGTAACAGAATTCTAAAAGTAAACAAATATTACTTTTATTATTGTAATTTTTGTGCTATTAATAAGTAACACATAACCTAAAAAAGAATAAATTCAAACACACAAATATGTATATAATATTGCAAAATTTACTAAAATAATAACACAACACAAGTAATATACTAAAATAAATCAACAAAAGAAGTAATACGCCATATTTCAAGATATTTTAAATTTCTTTGAGATAAATGAGTAAAAATTTGTACTATGGAAAAATCTATTCCTGAAGAAAACTATGTTCTAATTCCTATTTTCCGAAGAAACTGTTTTAAGCGAAAAACGTGTAGATATTTAAGCTTTTTCTGTTTAATTTTCGTGATTAGTACAGTTTTATAATATACATATATCACTGAAGAACTTGTTTTCTAAAGAATTTCATGTTTGAAAACTGTTTCATTCCTGTAAACACTGCAATAAGCACGAAAAGAAGCAACAAGAAACAAAACACATTTCTTTTGCAAATTCATAAAACACTATATGCAATTTGTGTATTTTTCTAAACTATTCTGCATACAGTTTCATGGAAACTAAAATAAACATTTTGGTTAAATACAAACTCTCCCAGGGACCAAAAAAAGAAGGTGATAAATTTACACAATTTACCAAATCCAATTATATTCAATCTTAACAACAGGCAATTGCTTCAGTTAATATCACTCATAAGTTACATAGTCTATACCTTTAATGACTATGAACATTCAAATGTGACCAATAGTACACAAATAACAATTTACATTTATGTCTGTATATATTTATTATTGCCTTAATTTTTTCATACAATGCACTCAAACATTGTAGAATTATTTAGCATGAATGCCATGAATTCTGCTGACAAAATATGCAGCATGATAAAATTTCAGAAAGAAACGAAAATATTTGTATTTTTTATGATAAAAAAATAGGTTTCATGTGCCTACACACATATTTCTATAATTATTTAAAGAACCAACTACTTATGCCCCCCATTAAATGAATAACCAAGAGACCGAAAATAAAATAAAAAATTCCCAACTGTTATCTTGTTCTTTTTAGAAACAGACTATAAACAATATTTTTTTTTTATATTTATAACTGTAAGCTTTCATCTGTTGATAGCTTTAGCTTTTTTGAAGACGGACATGGAGAACATTATTTATCAATGTAGTTCAGATAAATACATATATATTAGAACTAAATTTGAAGTAAATCTTAAAATTGTGACATCTTGACAGACCAATCCAGTACCTAAACGAGGTATTGGAAGGCGACAGAGATTCTCGGTTGAAAGTGAACCAATTAACCAACGAGTTGCGTAAGAAGAACCAGATAACTGGGACTTTGGAACACTTGTACTATTGCTTCGGGCGATCTTCACAACCTACCCAGATAACAAAGCAAAGGCACAAGTTTCTGCAAATTCTTATGGGGCACTATCACTGCATCTTTCACAGGGGGTCCGTCTGTAGCGCATTGCTACACACAACCACTGGCGCACACTAAGGCAAAATACAGCCGGGACTAAGGGCCGCGGCCCCCAGTTGACGTTGGCGAACCCGCTGTCCACTTAAATACACAAATTCACAATCACTGATGGCCGCAGCCGCTAGATGGCGTTGGCGACAGAACTGTCCCTTTTTTTGTTAATTCACAATCACGAGTGTCCCCGAGGGATTCGTCACCGACGGACGCGCAGTTGTGCGCGCAGCGTGCACTATATACGCGCGCCGGTGTGCGTGCGCGCGCTGGGTCAGGGCGCCGCCTCCTGCGCGACCTCTAGCGGCTCTGCGCCGGCGCACCGTCCCACGCTGCACTCCATATCCGTCCTGGAAATCAACGTTCTTAATTAAGTTAGAAGGCGAAGAAAGGTGGCGAGCGAGCCGGCGGTTCACCTGCTGTTAAGCGATAACCGCCGCCCATGGAAATTTGCAACACCCGTGGGGTTGCAGATGCATTGCCTTTATTAAAAGGTGGCAACATTCTACTGAGGCTTCAACAGCCAAACAACAACAGTGCTCGATGACATAGCTATATTGTCTTGGAAATACCATCGCTAGTGATTTATGAACATTACCGTGCAATGTCCGCGCACTGATAATAATTAATTTCCCTTCATGAAAAAAAGTTGCAGAACATAAATGACAAATATGATTATTTGTCTATAAAAGTACAGTAGATAGATGTCGATATTATCGCGCCGTTAGGTCATCAGCCTCCTAGCTTGGTTAGAAGCATCTGGACACGTAACCCATAAGACGACTGCAGTGCCGAAAAATGTTTTCCAGAATTTCTACAACAAAATAGGTCGTGTTGATAATGCAGGCTATGTTTATTGTTTGTAAGGCTATGAATGTGAAAAGTTGTCAAACGAGCAGACGGTTCACCTGATGTTAAGTGAATACCGCCGCCCATAGACATCTGCTACACCCGAGGGTTGCAGATGAGTAAGAAAAAGAAACATAAATGTGAGTCACTTACACAGCACTGACTGTGGACAGTTGCATCCTCGCACTGTTCCACTGTTCGCTTGCCTCGATTGAGTCTAGTTGATCCTCAGCAGCCTGTGATGCTGAAGTGGAGGCCTCGCCCTCTACCGGCGACTCTAGGTTGATAAGTGTTGCTGTGGCCACCTCGCCAACTCTGCTCGCTTCCTCTGTATTCGAGCTTGTCGATTGACTTGTATCGACGGATTTTTGCACATCTGCCAATAAATTATTGTTGTTGCTGTCTTAATTAGATGAAATTAGTTTGAGGGTTTTATATTTCATTTTGGTTCTGGATGAGAAACGAGAAACAATTTGTAATAAGCGCGTAAAAAAATGTTTTGTTATAACGTCACCTTTTGGTACACATTTACCTACCTGTGTTTTTACACAGGTAGGTAAATATGTTATCATTCCATCAAAAAATAAAGAAGAATGTAGTAATCATCCAACCAATCTTAGTTTAGATTGCCTGAATTTGATTAGATGTATACCATTTTAAAAGCTGTAATAAAAAGTAAAGAGAGAAATTCTACTTTTCTTAAAACAACTAATTATTTACTGTGTGCATACTATGACTACAGTTAATACTGCATGAATACATAAAAATACATAGACTTATGTTTAAGATGTAACTAGTGATGTGCCGGATCATTAAAATTGTAGATCCGCGTATATGGATCCGGATACGGATCTATGGCGTCAATATCCGCAGATACGGGTCTTAACTTAATATCCAGGAAAATCTCAAAATTACTGTATCCACAGACCTTGATTTTGTGTCTTTCCAGTGTCTGGGTGTCTATAAATATATAATATGTATCAATATACAAAAAAAAAGTATGTTTATCAGTTTTCTAGTACCTATAGTACAAACGTTACTTAGTTTGGGACTAGAGAACGTAAAAAATGTATCCGAAAATATTTATATTTACATTTGTGTTGCGCGCACATATTCATTTTTTATCATGACTTTTGGCGGCCAAGTTACTTTTTTTGAAGTACAATTTACCATTCCTTTAATTGTCACTGTGTTTTTAATCAAAAGTTAATAATTTGAGTGTCAATACTTCTGAGTGTCAATTGTATTAATTTACTTAATTAGAATTATTATTTTATTACGATTATAAGGGTAAAGATCCGTAAAAGATCCGTCAAAAATGTAGCGGATACGGATACGGATCCGGTTCTTTTTCCGACGGATATCCGCGGATACTGATATGGATATCCGGAACATCACTAGATGTAACTAGAACTGTATGAAGTGTAAAGCAAAGACCTGGGGCATGCATGTAGGTCAACCATTTCTTGAGCGGTCGGTTTTCAGCGATCATGGTGAGAACGCTGCTCTTCATTGCATCTGCAATGAAACGCGCGTTTCGCGTTAAAAAACGACCGTATACGTGCAACTAAAACAACACTATGTTAAACGATAACTCAAAATGAAGCGATAACTCACTAAATAACATTTAGTTACAAAGCGCTAAACAAACATAGTAGGCCTTGTTGCGAATATAAAACAAAATCTTACGAAATTCAATTTAATATTAATATTAATTCAATATGTACAATAATAATATTGGCTAATAAACTGGCTTACACCAATCGTTCCGTTAAAAACATGTAATTATTAACATGTATTAACCGCAAAAAGACCCACAAAAAATAAAATTCTACTTTTTGTTTCGTACAATATTGCAATTAAAAATAAATAATAACGTGGCCGTATGTTCTTCCGTGTTTTTAAAAAAGGAACTATATTAAAAAAAACACAAACGACTAACGTGTGGGTGTGTTCTATTCGTGTCCTTTTTTAAATAAAATAACTCTTCCTTTTTAAAAAAAAAAGAACACTATATAACAAAAACGAGCGGCTACAACTGAAGGCCAATGCCGGTGTTGGCGGAGGCTGTGACGTCACACCTTGCTTGTGCCTGTGGTCGCAGCAGGGCGGCGCCGTCAGGTGCGGGCGCAATGGGCGCACGCGCACGCGGTAGAAACGCGAACCGCGCGGCATGTGGTACCGGTTGCCGTTCTATCGTCAGAGGAGCACAAGGAACACAATAATTTTTATTTATTTAAAAGGTTCACCAGCGTACGTTCATATACCACATTAAACATTGAAAAGTGGAATCTTAAAACATAGTTAATAATTATTGTCAATCATATTTTGAATGTGAACAGTTTTCAAGCGAGCAGACAGTTCACCTGATGTTGGGTTCACTACACCCGACCACCTCACTCACAGACGAAACGCAGAAGTATAAGAAAGAAGATTTCATACAAAAGAAGATTTCCACTTCACCCCAGTTTTCTGTGAGGTTGGTACTCGGAAGTGCTCATACGTGCAGCAGTGAAGACTTGCGTAACCTTACATATTTTATGGCCCTACCACTTAGTACAGTGCAACAAAAAAAAATCCTTTCTCGTGTTTTTACCTACTAAACTTTAATTTTCTTATCTAGAACCTATATATCATTTTATGGACTAAAAAGCTCCGTTAAATGAGGACGGTGCTGTCGACGTCTGCCCAGGTAGAACAAACATTTGTGGGGGAAAATGGGTTTTTTTATTTTTGTAGCTAAGACTATCAAATCACGTACCTTTTTTGCGTAACAGAACTCCTTCGACTCGACAGTTGCCACGGTATACAGGCGTCTTTCACTTTCGTTCTTCACTTCTATGCTCAGATCTAGCGCGGCCAAGCAGTCGCTGTGCACGAAGTACATCATTGACGCCTCCTGAAATATCGTTGTTTGGATATTTTTCTATTAATTTCAGTTTCTGCGCTCTAATTATCTTAACTCTTATCTCCTAGCTCAACTCGAGGGAGCAGGATCTCTAACTCTTCAAACGAAATGTTATAGAAAAGGAGAGGTCAAAAAGACCTAGTAGTTTTATATACTACTAGTTTGTTTTGCCCCACTACAATGCTCACACCCGAGCGTTTGGCAGGTTTTCTTAAAAAAAAAAACTGTTTTGGCATACGCAGCTGCAAGGTCAGCGCAGTTGCTAAGCTATTAGCTTCGACGCCGGGGTTCAATTTCGCACACGTGACAAGTATTTGCATGACCCACAGATAACTCCGGATTGGGTGTTTGTTCCCAAGGAGGGTACTATTATTATATCAAAGGTTTATAGTCTGGCGGCCAGTCGCGAGAAACCTAGCCAAATCGACAACACGTGGGTCGTGTTGTGCCGACCCCACCTGGACGGGATGAGGACGGGAGGATGAAGAAGCAGTCGATGTACCTGCATGACGGTGTAGTTGAGGTGTGCGGGGTCCCAGAGCAGAAGGACGGTGTGCCCTGGCAGGCAGGAGGAGAGGCTGAGCGTGCCGGCCGTCAGCCCGTACGGGGTGTGGCATCTCGTACGGGACCGTCTGCCCTCCTCACGCTTCGGCGACGACCTGCTGCGAGACGAACATGTTAGGGATGCGCTTTTTTAAGCTCGATCCGAGTTTGCGGATCGTAATGGACCGTATCGTCTCTCGCATGATCGCGTCCATTTGAACAGTTTTTCAAACGATCGATCCGAAAAAACGCAATATATAAATATTATACTTAAGTGACTTAAAATAATTAAAGGTATATGAGGAAATATCTGTGAAGTATTTTAAATATGTCTGTGTTTTAAATATGTACGTATACATAAATATGTATGAGTCTTTTGAAAATCAATGAGGTAAGGTGGTAAATTGAGTAGTTAGTTGTGTCCACAACATTGTTAATTCAAATACAAAAAGAAATAAAAACTGTAAATTAAATCATTTTCGTAAGTATATCAAGTTAAAATACAAAGCATAAATAGGCATAAAATCCGTTCAAACGCACCTGCCATCGCTATCGTCCTCTCTGCTCTTGTCTCCTTCCTCGTTTTTCTTCTCTAACTCTTTCTTCAACTCTGCTACTTGTTTCTGGAGTACAGCCTTCTCGTTTTCTATACTTGCAATCTAAAAAATATATTTTAATAATGAAATTCCTCGATCTTCTACTTACATCTATCATGACACGCGCATTTCTTGGCCAATCCTCAATGCCTCCATAAGCTTTTAGCATTAACAAATACTAAAGACAATATGCAAGAGCGTACTTATGTAATGCTACTTTAAGTAAAAAGTTCATAATGAATGCAAGGAAAACGCTAACTATCGTGCTTATGTCACACTTACTTTTTTGTTAATTGGAAAATTTGATCGGTTGTAATTTTTTGAATTTCACAATATCCGCTTGTTACGACTTACTGGTTATATAACTCTTAGCAAAACATCATAATGTTGCATAGTAACATAATTATTTGGGTACATACCCATGTATGTCACTCGCGTAAACAAACAGAAGCAATTAATGAGTGGTCTCGTGCACTCAGTCGATGGATGCGGGTGGCTCAGGATCGCGCTTCTTGGCAGTGTATGGGGCAAGCATTTATTCAGCAGTGGAGTCTAACGGGATGAAATTATGATTATGAGTAACGTGGCGAAATAAATGGCCGACCTGTGTCTTTAGCAGGGCGTCGTAGACGTTCGTGTCGGGGTCGGTGAGCTGCTGTATCGTCTCGCGGTATTTGTTGCACTCGCGCGCGAGCGTCTTCTCCCTCTCGCGGGCCAACTCCAGCTGTCGGTCCTTCTCCGATAGCAGGCGCCGGGTCACGTCGTTAATCGTCACCTGAGGACATTTAATTTTTTTTTATATTGCCCATCTCCGCCCTTAAGATTAAACATTAAATTTTGTAGAGAATAGTACGAAAAGTAGAAGTAGAACCCAATTTTCTTCAAATTTTAAGGTACATTTTTAATCAGTAGAGCTAAAGTTACAGCCTATATATATCCCACTGCTAGACAAAAGCTCTAATACCCTCTGGTACAGAGGGTATTAGAGCATAGTCCACCGCGCGACTGCGGACTTGCAAGTAAATACGAAATATAATTTTTAAATGTGCAGGTTTCCTCACGATGTTTGTGATATGTAAGCACTTAAAATTGCAATTAACAATTTCATTGGTGCCGGCACCTTGAATTGGTTGGTGTTTAGCTCGAGTGTTAGAAGTTAAAGCGAGCGCCCGGAGAATGAGCAATAACGGCTCAACATTTTTATCAACGAAAAATTAAACCGACTTGAAATATGTCACTCACTACATGCCTTTTCTATTTGATTTTGAGGCGTTCTCTGATGTATCTCCAATACCAATTAAATTAATATCGGACCACATGGCAGTTAAACCAAACCAAATGCAAGAATAATTTTAATAATGAATTCATAAATTACAGTGTTCTGAGATAATAAAATAAAAAAAGAACCTTCTCTTTTAATGCGACTTGTAATTCGACGTCGTGGCAACGAACTTTTTCACATTTATATATTTTTATGAAATTTCACTTATTTTCGCAGCTGTAACGCCATGCTGTATATAGATTAAAAATTTCAAAATAACTGAAGTTCGCTCGCGCACCTGTTTTTCAGCTTCGTACTTCGCTTTGAGCGAAGCGATGTCAGCTGCGGTCTTCTCGTCGAATTCCGCCTTGCACTTCGCAACGGCGACTCTCACCGCTTCTTCCTTCTCCACTTCGGCGTTTTCCTTTGTCTGCATCACTATAGCGTTGTGATTGTTGATCTCTATGACGTCCGTCCGCTCGATCTTCTCCAGACTCGATTCGGACGGTGAACGGTCCATATTAGTGAGAGCCACCAATCTGAACCTGACAAAAATTCAATAAGTTTGGTTACACATAACTTTGTTGCAAAAAAAATAATAATTGATACTTTTTCGTACGAAAATCGAAAACTAAACTAACCGGAAATTAATCTTTTATGCCTTTCTCTTAAAAAGAGGACATTAGATCTAAACTAACTGTGATTATGATACAATAGTAAATAAATTGCACGTGCAGCACAAACTTTTATATATTTTTTCTTACCTAGAGCGCATAGATTCAATTTCAGCTTTGAAATCCAAATGCATCTTCTCCTGTAATTCTTTAATTTCTTTTTGTTTTTGCACTTCCATTTCTTCGAGTTTCTTCTCGAAAGATTTTATTTCGTCACGAGTCCTTTCGAGTAAATCCTTAGTACCCTGATGTTCCATCTCCAATTTCTCTATCTCCTTATGGTGTTCCAATTTCAGTTCTTCATATCCGCATTTCAAGGAGTTGATTATTTCATCTTTTCCGTGAAGGGACGCTTTCATATCGCTCAACTCTAATTCATGATCTACAGTCAGCCTTTGCGTCTGCTCACGGAACTTTATTGCCACTTCCTCGTTGCTCTGTTCCCATGCCTGAATTATCTCCATACATTTCCCGGACATGTATTGCTTTTGTTCGTCCATTTCAACTTTCAACTTGACTAACTCCTCTTTGATGTATAGCATGTTAACTTTGCACAGTGTGCACAGTTTGCACAAAAAGTCCTGTAGTTTCTCGACGTTTATCCTATGAGTGTCCATGTTATCCTTTAAAAAAAAATTACAGTTTGCAAAAATACGAATACATAAAATCGAAGACAACGACAGTTGACCTATTACACAAATACAATGCCTAAACTACAACATTGAACTAAATATTGAAGCTAACAAAAAGTAACACTAAAATATTTATCATGGGGCCGGTGAAGACAGGAGCAACGAAAAAATAACTAGAATACTACCCACCCATATGAGACAAGAGAACTGCAATAGTTAAAAATTCAACGTAACCTATATTGTAGACTTTTCTATTATTCAAAGCTTCGTAATAGTCAAAATAGTCATTAACATTTCGCATTTACAGTACTGCTACTTTGCACTTTCGAGTCAGTTTGAGGTTCTCCTATGATCGGACACGTTAGTCTCACATGGGTGGCGGCGTCCGATGTCGCCATTTTACAATTAGCTTCAGTGTGCACCTGTCCTCCATTCCGGCCCCAGTCCAGGCTGGACGGTGGCGACTCCTCAATGTAAAAGTCCGAGCTTTCGAACTCGCCGGGTGCCGGGTCCGGATCCGGCGTTGCCGGGGCAACGGCTCCCTCTGGTCCCGGGCCGGCTGCCGGGACGGCTCCCCCTGGTCCCGGGCCGGTTGCCGGGATTGCAGCCCCGCCGGATCCCGGCGCCGGCGTTTCCGGGATAGCGGGTAGTGTTCGCACCTCGGTCACCGTCGACACGGCCACCGTGTCCGGGGCGCACGTGGTCGACGTGTCCGCGCACCACCTCTGCGCGCCGCTCTGCCGGCCCAGTTTCTCGAAGTCGCCCGCCTCCGTCTCCGACTCGAAGCCCCTGTGCGAACGATAAGCGATTGCAGTGACGAAAGAGAGAGAGGGAGAGAAAGCGAGAGACTAGTATAAAACGCCGATCATACCTATCACGGTCCACTTGGATGTCGACGTCTCTCTCGTCATGTTGCGAGGCCGACAGCCTACAAAAAGTTGTTATTCTTATTAAAATTTTTAAAGAAACCACGTCGCAAAAACTGATTGGCCATTTTTCTACAAATTTTAATGTTCCAACTGTTAAGTGTAGAGAGAGGTTGCCATTGCAAAAACTTAATATATGTACAAACAATGTACACTGTTTTACTGAGGTAGGTAACTGTTTCTGCTGTTGTAGAAATGAGCGGGTTCGTGCGAGTAAGTACCACGGCCTCGGAAGAATGGCGTGGACTGGAAGTATAATGCTTTCGCGTTTCGGTCGGAGAGCGAAGTAACCGGCCCGCTTCTTATAAAGGCTGTCAACGGATCTGTAAGCCCTCAAGATGTCCATGACTCGTATTCACTTACCATCGGGCGAGCCACCTGCTGTTTTCAATCAATCAATCAATCAAAAATCTTTATTCAAATAGACGCTTGCGCGTTCTTATGAATCGTCAAATTTTACATAAAACATTATACATAGAGGTTCGTAAGGTACCACCGGTTCGGAAAGCTGTTTCTGTTGAGAAGAGACCGGCAAGAAACTCAACAGTTGCTCTTTTTCAATAATATCAGTTTACAATATAAAATACTGATATAATAGTCTTATTCTACCCTACGTGAGTATCAACATTATTAAGTCCACACATTGGCGTCGTCGAGATACAACTGCTGTTGACAACTATTCACATAACTTTGTAACTGTGATAGGTCCACGCAACAGTTCGCTGTTTCACGAATAGGCGGACCTAGGGAAGTACCACGACCTCACACAAGACGAATATTTTTCGTCTTGTATGAGGTCTAAGTACGTGGCGTTTCGTCTGGTAAGTGAGGCGTCCGGGACCCACGTTATCAAAAGATGGCAACGCGTCTGCAACCCTACGATTATTGCAAATGTCCAAGGGTGGCACTAAACATCAGGTTCACCAGCCAGCTCGCTTGGCACCTTCTCACACAAAATAAATAAGAAAAGAGTCATCATCACACCGCCATCATAATCTCCGAGCGCACCTCTGCTGGAAGAACTTGACGGTCGCCTCCATGTCGAAGCGGGGCACGTCGCGCGCCAGCTCGGGGAAGGTGGTGCAAATGGAGTCCACGTCCTCGTCGCTGATCCCCGGGAGGCGGGAGTCGAAGGCGGGCGGCGGCTGCGTGGCGAAGGGCGGCGGCAGGTCGGTCATGCCCGGGAACAGGTTCCGCAGGAAGTGGCCCTCGAACAGCGAGTTGAAGCCCTGGCGGCGGGACACCTCCTCCTCGTGGATCTTGTGCAGCTTCTCGGCGAGGTCCTTCGCCCACTATGAACGGTGAAATACGCGTGCGTTCTTATGGTTGTCACGGGATTATTTTTTTTGTCTAATCGACGCTTTTAGCTCTGTAGCTAAACCGTCTGGACGCGTAATCTGGAAGGCGCAGGTTCGAATCACGCTCTCTCGGCGGTGAAAGGTTTTTGGTAATTTAAAGTGTTAATTTTTTATCAGTCAACGCTGCTTACAATTTAATAGTATGTTAAATACGATGTGCAGTACAAAATACAGGTTAAACAAATTTACGTCAAGTTATAATGTTGACGTCTAGGTTAAGTAAAATTTTAATAAATTTTTTGTAGTTAGAATAGAATAATATATTTAATTCGCTGTACAGGAAACTTTTTTTCTGGGTCGCGTGGTTGACTATGCCCTGATACCCTCTGTACAGAAGGAGCCTTTGCACAGCAGTGCGACATATATAGGCCGATACTTTACTATACTTTATACAGCGTGTCGTTACCATCGCGACAATAAATGAACACACGTCTAACGCTACTTGCCAATAATCATAAAAAAATATTAACGTTAAACAAAATCCATAATTTCAAAAAAATATTTTTCAAACAAACTATTTAAGTAAAAAAGAAACAAAATTTGTAACATCCTATACAACTCGCGCCACAGCGTCGTATTACAAGCCTCTCTTCTAACAGTATGTTTTGTCTCTTTTAAATTCATTCAACCCATTCATATGCTTTGTGACCTTTACAAATGAACTTTACGTTACGCTTTTATAGGTAAGGGTGTTGTAAAATTCTTTGTTTTGGAAAATTTAATAACTCTATAAATATTAATGTTTAAAGAATTTAAATGTTTAATACAACTTTAAAAAGTTATCCTCTATATGTGTGTTCATTTATTGTCGCGATGGTAACGACACGCTGTATATAACACAAGTGGACCCAACAGACGTTGTCTTGTAAACACGTCTGAAATCCGAAAACAACTTATAAATAAAAAAATCAGAAAAAATGTTGACCGAATTGTAAGTTTAACACCATTCTCGAATCGACCTGAAGACACACACAAAATTTTTATAAAAATCGGTCCAGTGTGTATGTCACTGAACTCCTCCGTTTAGGAGTTCAGTGACACATATGTACAGAAGAATCACTGCATAGTATAAAACAAAGTCGTCCCGTTGTCTGTCTGTCCCTATTTATGCTTAGATCTTTAAAACTACGCAACGGATCTTGATTCGGTTTTTTTTTACTAGATAGAGTGATTCAATAGGAAAGTTTATATGTATAAAACATCGCACCTGTCAATGTCCTGAAAGGACAGTACATAAAGTTATAACATATTTATACTACATGTACTAGTAATAGTTATACACATCTCACCGTACGTCGAAATAGAACAATCAATTTCGCGAATTGAGACTTCCGGCGGTGCTGGGGCCGTGGCGCGTAAATTGTTGGCGCGGAACGTCATGCGGTTTTTTTTACTAGATAGAGTGATTCAAGAGGAAGGTTTACATGCATAGTACATTGCACCCGTGCAACGCCGGGGAGGGTCGCTAGTAATTACTAAACCGCTTATCAATAGGGCGACCACTCTTAACGGGATAAACAAACAATGTTCGAATTGACATTTTTCCGGTTATTTCTTGTCAAAATAAAATATTAATTTTTTTTTTTTTTGAATCGTGGATTTCTCAATTAACATTACGTCAAAGCATGTGCTTCGTCTGAAAAAAAAGAACACCCTGTACAAAGATAGCGAAATGTGCGGAACCGTGCCTCCAGGTGGGCGGCCGAGAAGGCGCGCCTGCGCGCCACCTCGTGGGCGGCGCGCACGAACATCTCCGGCGCGCGGTGCAGCTGCGCCACCACGCCGAAGTAACGCGCCAGCCGGTTGAAGCACTGGAACGACAGCATCGCGTGCGCGTCCTGCACCGACATCGAGTTCTCGATCATCAGCACCGCCCTGCCACCACACCGCCGAGTTACAACCGATCGGAAAACCCGCCAGCTCGAAGCGTCACCGAGTTAGACTCTTCGAGGGCTATAAGTAATATTAGATCAAACTATTTTACGGATTATATCGCGTTTCAATTCTGCTTTTTATCTACCGAAGTTTCGAACACTTTCCAGCGTTCGTTTTCGCGGCTTAGATGGAACTTGACATGGAACTTGACAAATTCTTATCAACAATGTTCTTGGAAAAATCACTAGAGAAGATCTAGCAACATTGTAAGATTTCTAAATAGTAAGATAACTTGTACGTTCTAAATGTACCAATGCATATATATACCAATGTCAGTAAGTACTGACATTGGTTACAATTAGAAATCTTACTTTTTCGCTGTCAACATTCTACAATTATGACACGGCACTCTTGAGGCAAATAAACCACCAATACTCTTAGCAGTGGTTTATTTAGAAAATAAAATCCTCAAGCTTGAGTGAAAACTTATGATAACTTAATCGAGTATTGTTAGAACTATTTTAAATGGAACAATTTCATATTCAAAGCAAACAACAAATAACTTACTCTAATCTTGCCTTCAATATGTGGGAAAGCTCGTCCTTCGAGTTAGCGATGCGACGCCTTATATCGACCAGCACTTGGTGCCCGCTGAGAAGCTTCTCCAGCTGGCAGCAGTGTGACTGCACCAAGGTGGGCAGCACCGAAGGGTCGCACGCAGAATTGAAACGCTCTCGATACTGAAAGTAATATTAGCACACATGTTATAATAGGATTGTGCAACATTAAATAATAAAATAAAAAAAAAATTGAGTTTGAGTTTGAATATGAAATGTCTGGTACCTGTATAAGGGACGCGGCTTGATCATGCTGGTCACGCTCTATTTTCTTCACCTCGCTGAGCAGCTGGTCCAGGCCGTACAAGCGATCTTCGATACCCTTAATCTGCTTCAAACCATGCATGTTGGCATACTCGAGTATGTGGTACAATTCAGCTTCCCTTTCCTTTAAAGGTTCCGCGTCAATCTGAAAAGAATCTTAACTTAAAATAATTCCATTGTTTGAGTAGTTTCTATTTATTTCTTTTACAAAACATTAAAAAGCCATGGCTTGAAATTTTAAAATAGGTCATATAAAGAAAATAGAGTATCTGAAGAAATTTATTTTCATCTGTGTTGTTTATTAGTTAGTTGTAATATTATTTATATTTTAACCTTGATCGAGTGGCCATTATTTTATTTTATGTAGTACATAATAAAAAATAATTTAATTAACAATTAACATCTGTGTTTTGGGGAATGTTTGTTAGGATGACAGGGTAGTTTGACAGAGGTTTTTTGCTCATATGGAGTGCATGCGCCTGATTGTACATCATATGTACAGTACAGTCTTGCTCATACTATACAAAATTATCATCCAAGAAAAGTAAGTAGCAAAAAGAAATTTGTTAATAATGTTAATCCAAGCATAGTTACTCTTATATATCACAAATAATTTACGACAAATCGAAAAAGTAATTTCTTTTCTAACCAAAAAAATTTTGGTTATACATACATAATTATATGATACTGGATGTGTATATCATGTAAGACAATGAAAAATGTTTTAAGTTACAAAATAATAATTAAGGTTTGTTGTGTGTCAATTAATCTTATTTAATGTTTACATACCAAAGCTAATCCCTTCTCACAGTAATCTAAGATATCCTGTAAAGAAGCTTTGTTCCCTTGAGCAAGGATCCAATGTAACAATGTAGGCTCTTCATTGCTCTCATAAGAACTCGCTTTGAATGTGACACCTTCATCTGACACCTCGATCTGCTGTGTCTCCCCTGAGGATTCAGGTTCTTCTTTACTAGTCGAAGGATGTTTTTGACCAAATACTAAAAATTTATCAACAGTTAATATAAGTTTAGTCAGATATTCAAATTTACTTGGATACTACTTGATAATTAAAGAAGAATATGATATTCTATCAGTTTAATAATTTCAACCTTAATAAGGTTGTAATTCAGTAACCCACAATAATATAATAATAATGCTGTTATAAAAGTAATTAAATATTACCATCTTCTTCTGACAACTTAAACGCTTCAACGCCGAAATCCTGATAGGCTCTGTTCTCGGAGCTGTTGTCCAATGGCTGATTGATTCTGTAATGGTGGCCCTCAAATTCCGTCTCCTCGAATACGTCGAAAGCGGAGAACCTGTGCGCCTCTGCCTGCAGTTGCAACGCGGGGAGTATCGGAATCTTCTTCAGAGACTTCAAGACGTCGTTTAGGCTATAAACATTTAAAATATTATTTAATGATCACATAAACAATGATTAAAGTTGTTTAATGTTTTTTTAAGATTTATATGATTTCATCTGGTTTAATTTAAAAAAGAATATTTTCATTTTAAACATTTGATTTTAAATTTTTTGGTCTATATGGAGCAATGATTGTAGATTACTACTAGTAGTATCATATTAAAATATAATAATATAGTAGTTACTTAATGTTTATAAATAATTCTTTTTAGAAATTTAAATTTTTTATAGTGCTAATATCTGCACTTAAGATTAAACATTAAAATTTGTAGAAGTCTTCGGCATTCGCGGCCTGACGTATGTGACGTGAATATAGTCACTAAACGGCTAATTGCGACAACGACGAAAATCTTAACATCTTATTTACATTGTGTCTTTTACATTTCTTGTATCTTGTAACTAATGTTTTTGGTTTCAGTCCCGAGACTTTTAAAGCTTCATCTGTCGCAGAACCGGTGGGCTAGCCAGAACCCAAGGGGGTTTGGACCCTCCACTGTGGGTAGGGCCGCGCATGTGCTCATGCGTACGTTTAACTATGGTGTGTCATCTTACGGCTCTTACGCACTAGCGGTTAGCCGCTTTTACAGTTTAATATGCAACCGCCTGTAATTGTACACACTTAACGGCCATGAATTTTCAACCGGGGCGGTTGATCTCTTGAATCTTAATTATTCGCACTTTCGGTTCTGATAGCGGCGTGCCGCCGAAAAGTTTGTACGTTTGACGTTCAGCCATGAACTTCGACACAGAGAAATTTTTATTTGAAATTCAACAAAGAGAAGCAAGAAGAATATTTGGAATAGTGAAGGAGCAGTTTATAAAAATAGTAATTTAAAACGGAAACAATGGGAAGAAAAATAAAGAACTTGCAAACTGGTCTCATTCATTACGTGTTTCTAGTAAAGGATGAATCCAGTAACGTTTTTTATATTTCTTTCGTTTTACTTGATTTCGGTAGTAAAAATTCGCTAATGAAGGCAAGACGTTTTCGAGCCGTCCAACCGCCTTACGCCGTTTGGCCTAACCGCTAGTGCGTAACGGGCCTAAGGGCCATCGAGGTCGCGGTTCGGACCGAAACCCCGATGGCCGTCGACTGTGGAATTAGCTAATCGGTGGCTGGGAACGGTGAGAACCGCCCCGGAACGCGGGTGTACCTTGTGTACGCGTTGTGTTGGTCTCGCAATGCTCGGAGGTGAGGGCGAACTAGTGTGTTTGTTGTTGCACTAACTGTGGGTGTAGTGTTATCCGTCGGGACCCCCGGCGGGGGGTACATTGTTATATCCCTTCCACAGCGGCGACAATCTTTTGATACTTTTTCTACAAATTTTAATAAATAATTCTTTACTTACGAATTTAACATTTCATGGTACTCTTCCTTTTTTAGACGGTGCTTACGAAATGATTCTTTAAAGCTTCGGGATCGTTCACAAAACTCACTGTATATGTCCTCTAAATTGGCAACAACAGCGGCCCAACCCTGAAATATTATTAATTAGAAATTGTACTCCAGAAACAAAGGCCATTTCTAAATGAAATAACTAAATATCAGGAGCCTATATTTCTTAACTTACTTGGTGCTGCAAATGTTGTTCAAGGACCAACTGATCACAGCTTCTGGATACCTCATGAGCTAGATCGCTGAACTGCTGCGCTAACGTAGCACAAGATATAATCGTATGGACAGTTGGCGGCAATGAACAGCACATTTCAACAGAACTCTTTAGGTCAACAACGGACTTTCCCTCAAACGCACTTCGAGTGTCGCTTCGAAAGGACCCTGTGCTTAATTCCACAATAGGGCTAAGATCCCCAACCACTAAAAATAAAAAATTTTATAAGACTGTTGCAATTATTTTTAATTATTCAGAAAGTGATCTGACATTGCTCCAAGAGAAGTTGTGGTAGGGCCATGCAGCAGCTTCCACTATTTTTCGCACGAGCAGGCTCTACTGTGAAAGTATATGGCCTCACATAACGCCAGAAATAAGTGAGCTTTTTTTTAATGTTAAAGTATTATACTGTCAGCTTTCTCATCTGGTGAGTGAAATAAACCTCTTGTTATTACACACGTTAATCTTGGAATTCGATATAAACATGTTGTTTTCACAAGCCATACACTACATTTATATTTCATTACTATATATTCATAGAAGTTTTGTTGAGACCTGCACCTTCTGGCACATAAGACACATAGACTATCCGCAGTGCCAATTGGATTTTACATGTAAATATTTACTTGAATAATCAATATAATATGATAACTTACTGGACTGTTTTAACCTGCTGTCTTTGACTGATGGTTTGCTGAACATATATATAGGGTTGGTATCAGTGCCAGCACTATATGATGAAACCATATGATCTGACTGCAACACTTCACCTCCACTAACAAGGAGAACTATTGATGTTGCTGGTATTTTAGTTTTCCTCTCTATTGCAGCCTTTAAGCTGGCAACACTGAAATCACAGTATAAGCACCATATTTTGTAAGACAAATAGAATGTGTATATTAACCCATGCAAAGTTAATTCAACTTAAGTAGCAGCATATCCCACTGCTGGGCTAAGGTCTCCTCTATACAGAGAGTGTCAGGGCAACTTTAAAGCTGTAAACCATTTATTTTTGTTATATTAAACAATAAATAAATACATTAATTTTAATTGAATCAACAAACATGAACTTTTTTCCAAGTTTTATGGAAGTATGTTTATTATTTCATTTTAAGTTGCAGATCTTTAAATTCTACTAACTTTAATCAAATTTTGCACACTATGCAGTTTGATCCAACTTGAGAGACAGGATAATTTATAAATCTTAATTTATAGTCACAATATTTTTATTGCAAATTATTTGTTTATTATTTGAGAAAGAGTTATAATTATCTGTAAATTCCATAATAGATGGGGGGATAGAGTAATGATCCAATAGATGGTGCTATCTTAACAGTTCAAACATAGGGACCCAGGAGGTGGCACTGCAATCGAGTTATAGGTTTTTTTAAAAGATTTTTTGCATATGGAAATACAATTAAAACTTGTAATAACAGATTTGGCAGAGAAGAAGTTGTGCGGGCCCAGTATTATTTAGATAATACAATTATATATCTGCAATACATTAATGGTTTAGACTTTGTCACAATTGGGCACTTGTATATATACTAGAATTCTCATCATAGTACCAGCAACTAGTTGTTCATAAAATGGTTATAGAAAAGAGGGATAATTATTAAATACATTTTCAACATACCTTTGTAATGTCAGATTCATATCATATGTGGTCATTTGACCAGCATCTACATGAAATACATATAGCATATTGGTTGCTTTATAGTAAATAATATATATTGCAATCAATCAAGCCTCATCTTACCGATTTTTTGTTAAATAATATGGTTCTGCAACAAAAAACATTTGCTGGTTAATTAAAGAAATTAAACTTTTTCAATTTAACAAAATTAAACTTTTTTGCTTTTTTTCATTCATAGTTCACTGTAATATATTAATGGTATGATGTTTATTTATAAGATAATACATGAGCAATAATGACTAAATAACATACATTATATTTAATTTTATAAGTTCCAAATTTTTACATTCTTGTGTGCATATATTGTTAATTAAACTATTAATTATTAAATTAACTATACAATTTCCAAATCACTTAAATTTTAATACTTATGGGTAACTATTATCACCAGGGACTTAAAACGTTATGCATAACGAAATTTATAACGATATCATAACATAATGGTATTGGTACCTCAGAAAACATTTCGTTTTCAATTTTTTTGTATAACGTTATATGAGTAACAGAACGAAATTATTACAGAGAAATTAACGATATTAACGTTATTATAACGATAAATACGCAACGTTGCCAAACTTGTTTATTTCTAAAGCGCGCGTCTTATGAGCGGGGATCCAACTGTTAGCTCGGATGGGGATTCACCGCACAGCACGGCAACGTTTTAAAACGATGCCTAAACATTTGTAAACCCTTGCGACGAATTTTATTTAACAAGCTTTCATTTAGTTTCACCTGTAGCGATGTTTGTCATCAATTCTTGCAAATTAAATTTGATCCACTTCCCGGTTAGGTACCAATTGAGCTGAAATTTTGCATACATGTGTAAATCGCGTGACAATGCCATATTATGATGACATGGTACTGATCTGATGATGGAGCTGGAAGGTGGCCAAAGGAACTGCGCAATGACAGAACGACACAACCTCATCGAGTTTGGGCTCATTTGAATCGTCGTGAGGAGTAGTTTGTCTTTTAATGATAACCAGGGTCTGATGAAGTAGCTGGAAGGTGGCCATCGAAACTCTGTAATGGAAATACGCAACCCCATCGAGTCTCGGCTCGTTGGCTTCGTCTTGACGAGTACTTTGGTACTTGATGGTAACCAGGGTTTGATGATGGAGCTGGAAGATGGCCATAGGGACTCTGTAATGGAACGACGCAACCCCATCGAGTCTCGGCTCGTTGGCTTCGTCTTGACGAGTACTTTGGTACTTGATGGTAACCAGGGTTTGATGATGGAGCTGGAATGGCCATAGGGACTCTGTAATGGAACGACGCAACCCCATCGAGTCTCGGCTCGTTGGCTTCGTCTTGACGAGTACTTTGGTACTTGATGGTAACCAGGGTTTGATGATGGAGCTGGAAGATGGCCATAGGGACTCTGTAATGGAACGACGCAACCCCATCGAGTCACAGCTCGTTGGCTTCGTCTTGACGAGTACTTTGGTACTTGATGGTAACCAGGGTTTGATGATGGAGCTGGAAGGTGCCCATAGGGACTCGGTCATTAAGCGACACAACCACGTCGAGTTTGATTAGTTTTAATGGGTGGACCGTTTTTAATGGGTGGTGAGTGGTGGTGGTTTGGTGGACGTGTAATGTAATATAATATTTACGCATTAAATGAAATGGATAGAATGTGTAATGTTACAAACAACTAACTAGTTATTCCATAACTAATTGATATGTAAAGTTATTAAAATATAAAATAATACTAAAAAGTTAAAAATAATATTAAAAGAAAAACCGAAGAAACGAAAAATAAAAATTAAAGAAGTTTTTATCGCATACCCAATTTTTATAAATAAAATCTTTTTAAGAAGTTTTTTTTTATAATTTTTTTTTATTTCAGTTTTTTCGTTTTTTCCACGTATCGATTCATTGATTAGAAGTAAATTAGTACAAAATTCGGATTGGTGCGTGTTGCACTTAGGACAACGCAAGTTAGTCGAAACTTTTTTCAGTATTAAAGAATTTTATAAGTATATAATATTAAAGATTTCATTTAGTATAAAAGGTCGATGATATTAATTGTACCTTGTATTGTATATTAAAATAGAGCTACATGCGACTTTAAATGCAACAAAAAATCGAATCAGAATTATTAACATTATAATGCATAAAATCATATTAAAAGAAAGCATTTAACATAACATAACATTTGAAAATTGCCAATTAAGTACTTTGTACCTACACACCATTTTATCATTAGCACTTAAATTATGTTTTTATGTACTATCTCAAAAAAGACTCTAGATGAAAAAGCTAAGTGAACGCGAGCGATGGTACTAAGTAGATAGCGAAGAAAGATTCCCGCAAAAGAAATAATACTACCTTTACCTCTCATATTCCTAGTAACTTAAGCAAAATTTTCTGTTAGTTGAATTGCTGTACCGACGACAACAATATAAGCGCGACAGAACATAAGATAAAAGAGACAGAACATACGCAAAAAAGAGTAAACCGTTTTGAGTAAAAGAGATGGCATAGAACAATAAATAATAACGTTATTATTTTTATAACAATATTTTAGAAACGTTTAATTTACGAATGTAACGTAACGCAATTATAACGTTTCCACAATATCGTTTTTAATAACGTTTCTCTTAAAAATAACGTTATCTCACACTGGCCCAGATAACGTTACTGTATTTTACCGGTATTTTGATCCCTGATTGTCACACATAAGCATTAAATTGTGGTCCTTAAAAATATGTTCTATGGTATTAAGAAACATCGTTTTAGAAACATGTGTTAGGACATAGAAATTTTCAATTAGAATTAGAAGTAGTTTTCATACCAGAGGAATACCAACAATGAGCTTTACTATAAAAAATATACTCATATTTATGATAAGTGTTTAGCAAAATTCTTACCGTCAATGACATTTCAGAGATTTAAAATATATGAACTTATTATGACACCTTGATGATACAGTAACTAAGCTATTGGTATTGGGGTAAGGCTTGTATGTTTGATCTCCACATGGAATAAGTATTTGTATGTCCTACAAATAATTTTGATGTTTTCTGGAGGGTTTGTTCGCACTGAGAGCTGTTGTCAAGCAGGCAGTCAGTTGTAAATCCAACAGGCTTAAAAGTCATTTCAAACAACGCAAGTCTTCTCTGTTACACAAATCTATAGGTCCATTCGGGTATATAATACAACACAACAGAGAAGACCATTGTGAAGTGGAAGTGCCATACCTTTGCATTTCGTCTGCTGAATGATGTAGTTGGGCTACCCTATGATTGTTGCAAATGTAAATGGACGTCAGTTATCACTTAATATTAAGTTCACCGATAGCTTGCTTGCCGCCTCCTTACTTAAAAAACATCATGAAATTTACATATTATGCAAAGTGGAATAAATTCTGAAGAACAATATTCTGGCTTAATTTGTAATAACCATACATTAAGTTAGTATGATAAGTTTTCTACAATAGTTATTGATGATAACTGCGCCACTATAATTAATCGCCTTTATCATCATGACCTCAAATAAACACTGAATAATTAACTAACTATAGGTAACGAATCTTTGAAGGCAAGAGATATTTATACAATGCTTCTAAGAAAATGAATTGCATTATTTACGTAAACCCATTAAAATACTCAAACTTCCAGAAGAAAACATTTTAAAAACAAAGGATATATTTATCTAAAATAAACAAAAACACCTGTACAAGTATTTATACCGTCGCAATCTTGGTACAGAATAACTTCTTTTACATAAAAAATACGAAAAATATATTTTATAAAATGTTTAAGCGTATGGCCATCAAAATGGAACGTGATGTTTTTTGCGTTTGAACAACAAAGATTCATACTTACACAAACAAAACCATTTCATCATTTATACGCCGAAATAGTAATTTTCTGTTTTGTGTATTCCAATGTAACTAAAAATAAGCAAGCATTATGTAATATGGTTAAAAAGGAAGACAAACATGAACGTTTTGCACTACACAATAATTACTAGATATCTTTAGGTCAATACCACCATTGCTACCTTGACGTCCACTGACGTAAACGGACGTAAACTAAACTCAGCTGACAGACAAACAATGTTGCAAATGTAAAAAAAAAATGTGCGTGGAATCCCTCCGCGCAGAAGAAGTAAAACATCATGTTGTGGAAATGAAAATAGGAAGGGGTAGAAATTGATTTTTAGTGAAATCATATTGTTTATTTAAAACAAACTTTATTAATATTGCTTACGATTCACAATTGATCGCATCTTTTAATAATTATTTTCGAGAGGAGAAATGTAAAAAAATATGAATTAAATAGAAATATAAAATAAATATTAAATGTATTTGAATCATTCACAATCGCATGCGTTTCAGTGCCACGCATTCACGCTCTGTCTCTTTTTATTCCCCCTCCCCAGGAGCGTTGAAAGTTTAACGCAACAGTGCTTTAATACTCCCTCCACGAAAGCGTTAAACGTTTAACACAGCCTTGTTGGAAGTCGTATTAGAAGTTTCACTTCAAAACCCACGGAATAGAGAACACAAGTGGAAGTGCCATGTGGGCGAAACCCAACGACCACCGTTAAGCAAAAGTGTCACTACTGAAGGATATATTATGATTCATTAAGTTGTCTACAAAATCTATTGTCAAACCCATTCCGTTCGAAGTTTAGGAACCCGACTTTTAAAGGGGCTGAATGTGGTCCTTGCCTAGATCCCAGGTCGTTGTGGAATTCAAGGCAATGAATAATGTATGGTTATTACAAATTAAGCCAGAATATTGTTCTTCAGAATTTATTCCACTTTGAGCAGACCAACTAGCAAAAGCATCTTCAACATCTAACTCTCTTTCCTTACAACATATTTTTTTATATGATTTGATACCATCAGCTACTTCAGATCTCATGGCCTCATGACGTAATATCTGGTGCAAATCTAAACTCTGTTTCCGGTAAATATTATGCTCGTTCTCAAGAAGACATTCCCAAAAAACTCTGGTTC